AGTGTATTGCTTCATTATTCTATGTGATAGTTACATCAGCAGTGTATTGCTACATTATTCTATGTGATAGTTACACAAGGAAACAGAAAAAAAAGAAATAACAAGCTTAAATAATATAACTACGGTAACGCTCCTCCTTGTTTCCAAAGGTACCTGAAATAGTGTCTGATGCTCATGCTTGTAACCGTTATCACAGGAACGTTTTTTTTTTTTTTAGATTAGAATTGCAAACGTTTTTGAAATAAAGGTATTGTAAAATAATTAGTTACTGAGCGCGAGGGGACGGGGAAGAGTCGAGGGTCATAATTTTTGGCGCTTTTGGTGTTGAATTATGGAGCAGATCTCTAAAAAAAAAAAAAAAAAAAAAAAAAAAAAAAATCATATTCTCTGAGATCAATTTGAATGCGTATTAACTTAAACTGGGGTCTGATTTGCGCACTGACCTTTACATGACTACAATCGTTTTTATTATGCCAGTTTGCATATGTATAACGTATGTCTCCGACTTCTAGCGGTGTTCGTTACGTGAGTAATTAGTTACGCCTGTATCAACCACTCAACCATCATCACACTGTCTCACGCACTCGCTCAACCATCGTTACTGCCTGAGTTGGTGGGTCGCTAGGTAGTGTATGATCACCTACTTGTGGTTGCAGAGGTCGAGTTTTGGCTCCCCCATCCCCGTCTCTCTCTCTCTCTCTCTCTCTCTCTCTCTCTCTCTCTTTTCTTTCTCTCTCTCTCCTTCCCAGTTTTGTCTTTCGTGTTACTGACTTCGTTTGACCTACTTTTGCAAACCTGTCCAAATTAGGATCTTTGATCTTGCTAAGCCGTGCTTGTATGATCCTTCATCCCTGAACGGCCGTGACCCCAATCCCAACTTTTGATTAGGGGTCATTAACCTCTGAGCAGCCTTAACCTCCTTCCCTACTCTTGCTTGGAGTGTCATTAACCCAGAAGTGTGACCCCCAGCGTGTGACCCCAGAGCTGGAAGCGGGAAAGAGGGAGGTGCGAGGAAGTATCACTTCCTTCCTTGGTTTGAGGGAGTGTGGCGAAGCCCAACCACCACTGCTGTAGTGTTAACCTTGGAGCCTTCTTTTATAGTGTGTTGGTATTGAGAGAGAGAGAGAGAGTGTGTGTGTGTACTTACCTAGTTGTGCTTGCACGGGGCCGATTCAGAACTCCTTGCCTCGCCTCTAAACTAATATCGAGAGACTGTACTCATTTCCGGTCTCCAGGGCCTAATAATTCTTACTCTCAACACCGTGTGCCAACAGTCAATGAAAGGACAGGAAGAGAGGAGAGATTAGCTTTATTCTGCACTACGGGCACCTTCACACAGTTCCAGGGAACTTTTTCAGCGGTCTAGAACCATAGCCAACCTCTTGTTCCCCGATACACTTCCTACACAACCAAGGAATTAGTGAGCAGTCTCCGGGACAGGAAAGTTTTTACCACTGTCTGTCTTAAGAGAATTAATCAGAAGATCACAGCTCTGTTTCAACAACCATTGGAAGGAGTTTGACTAGAAGCCATTAGTATCAACTTCAATCTTCACCACTAACACCATCATAAAGATACAGGAGTGAAAGAATTTTCAGCTTGCTACATAAATCTTGCTTGGTAAACTACTCGACTTAGACTTTTACAGTTGTTCACGTGCTCAGGTCACCCACACCTCTCCTAGGGTCCTCACTCCGCCTACATATTCCCAGCTTTGCCAGGTACTAACCATAGACTTGAAGAAGCTTAGTCATCGAGAGAAACATTATCTTAATGCAATTTCCATTCTGCCTTCGTGTATTTATTTTGCAGCTTGCTGGTATTTTATAACTTATGCCCAGATGTAAGGAGATTTTTCCCAATAATCTCGTCCAACCCTCATAATTCTATTGTGAGCCAGAGGCTCTACAGCTGAGCTTCTTCGTGCCCAGTTTGTGTTCCATTATTGTTGTGTTGAGGTTGCCAGCGGCTGCTGAGTTGTGCGAAACTTTCTTATCATCATTAGAAAGTTTTCCGAATTTCCTAGCATAATACACCACCACCAATTTCATTACTCGACAGTTTTTTATGTTTTGTTTTAAGATTTAATTGTACTTTATTATCACTTATTTCTTATTCTTGTATTCATCTAGTTGTAGTGATGAGGTTGGAGTGTCGGCTCCTGGCTCTCATTAACTTGTTTTGCAAAATCATGGATTTGCCGCAGGTCGAGCTGCGAGGGTAGACGAGCCCTTGAAACCGGTCACAGCCGTATAACAGGCATCACAGATGTATCATAGGTGTGTCAGAAATGTGTCACAGGTGTATCTTGATAGCACACCTTGGGACTTATCCAAGGGAAACTAGCTTCAAGATGTGTTTCAGGACTCTAATCTTTTTGTGATCTCATCTTAGGACAGCTGAAAAAAATAAAGTAATTGGTTGACTACGGAGATTTTCTATTAATTCCCTTCCCACCCGTTCTCTCTCTCTCTCTCTCTCTCTCTCTCTCTCTCTCTCTCTCTCTCTCTCTCTCTCTCTCTCTCTCCATTCCTATCCACGTTTCCACCCTTCTTTCCCTCAACCCCCTGTCATCTTCTCATCCATTTCTCCCAATTACAAGAGAGTATAGTCCCTCCTTGGGTTTCCTGGGTGGGAGTGGGAGGGTGTGGGCAACAGGGGGTTTGAGCGGAGGGGTTGGTAGGAGGTTAGGTGAAAAGGCAGGAATGTTAAATATATAGTCAGTATCTCATTCAGTTGCCGAACCGGGTGGAGGAAGGAGGAAAAGTAGAATTTGGATCAAGGAAATGAGGATTAGAACAGACGGAGGAGCATATACACGAAGAAGGTAGGCAGCAGAAGACCTCAGTGTGTACATGGAAGCTGTCTTCTGAGAAATGTTAGTACAATTTTAACTATAATTCTATTTAGGTAAAGATTAGATCTTCCTACCCTAACCTACTCCCCCCGGTCAAACTGCTGGATGGAAAAACTGGCTGAAGCGATTGAAAAGCGTGTATGAATATTTACACTTTTCACCTAAGATAGCTCTTCGTGTTTCAGTATATCAAAACCCCTCGTTATTTTAGAGGATTGATTGAGATCTGCATTGTCTCCGTTGCCTAGGGAAGAACAGCCTTAGTAGTTTGATATGGCTTCAACTATTTCTAAACAAAATTCTAAAATTCTTAAATACAATATTTTTTTTTCGCCTTTGCTAGAATATTGGTCATGATCTTTAGTCTCAGAATGTAATTTTATATGTTCAAATATTTGGTTTTCCAAAAGTACTTTCTTCCAAAGGTTTATTTTGTAATTACGGCAGCACGAATTTACTTGCCCTTCTCTGTACCCTCACCAGCCTCGCTTTTCTCTAAGATGGGCACCAAAACTGGACAGTTTATGCAAGGCTGTCGGGCAAGTGTGTTGCTGAGGCATATATTGTTCCCAGTGTTTTATATAGGAGCTCGATATTGACGGTGTTGTCAACAGTAATTTTACAAAGTTGTAAATTTTGGACTAGAGAAAGTAGTAGACGCTGGGAAATGAGATCCTTATTTACACTTCTCGTTTACACCGAGTTGTATGTATCGAAAATAAAACACCATTTTGTTTAAAAAAATGTTGTAAATCCAAGATTTGGGGAAAATTTGTTGTGTTCTTTTTGGAGAATTAGTTGAATACCTGAAAATTTATCGTCATAGTGTTCACCTATCTTAATTTTTTGTTTTGGGGGGGAGGGGGGCTAATCACCTGTGATTTTTCTGGGAGGGATCACCTGTGATTTTTGTTGTTATTGTTTTTTGTCTATACTAATTTTATCTCCGTTATCTCTTGGTTACACTTATTTATTTAATAAGATATGAGGATATTTTGTAGCATTCCTATTATCTTATTATTATTAGCTGAGTTATGTATGTATTTTTTTACTGAGGAAAATATTCCATCCTTCAAAGTTGCTTTCAGTGATATCAACGCTAAAGTAGTGATCTAAACTACATAAACATTACATTCTTCACAGTTCTTCAAGAAAATTCGGTACTATAGTAGTGATTTAAACTTCCTTCAAGGAGCTCTTAAAGAAGTGTTTCAGTACCAGAATAGTGATGCGAAAATAAAACATTCCACTGAAGACCTTATCATAACAAGGTATTTTAAACACCGTTCTATAAGTGAACTTTTTTCGCAGGTTTGATCACCATTTAGGCATCGAAATCTCTTGAAGAACTGAAAAATATTTATGTCGGTTTAGCATAAATGTATACCGAATGTACCTATACACCTGAATACAGACATCTTGTACACATATATTTACAGTCTGCATGAGAAACAATAGTCACACTATACAACATTATTCATTAGAAGTGTACCAACTAACATGACAACTATAAGTTAGTTAATTCACAAATTATAACTAGTTCAGGGTTAACACTAGACTGATCTATCAACCAGTATGGCAACTGTACGTTAATTAACCCACAAATGATAACTAGAGTGATCATAATGTGTGATGTAATTTTCATATTATCATCAGTGATCATATAAAAATTACATCACACAATACTCTTAAGAGGTGGACAGGTACCAAGGTGTGTAACTCACTGGTACACCACCCCAGCTCCACATATTGTGTGCTTGTGCTGATACCATCTAGTCAAAGACTTAGTCCACACAATACAGTGTGTAGACACCAACAAGTCCATTCCATCCTAGCACCGACTGAGTCCACGGAGCTGGGTAAATATTAAGACCACTCAGTCCAACTACTATTTTTATTAATACAGTTTAAACGTTACTTTACTTGCCTGATTTCACACCATCTGTATCCGACCTTACTCCATCTGCATACCCTCCTTGCTCCACCTGTGCTCTGCCTCACTCCCTCTGTACTCTGCCACTTCCTTGCCATACCTTCCCTCTTCAGAAAACGACTTTCCAGTTGTACGTAAATCTCTTTCTTCATATATTTTGTGGTGTGACTGTACTCGGCCTAAGCAACACTGTTCCTCTCCCTGCCGCAGGTGTTGGCGCTCAACCAGGTGTTCACTACGCAGCCGCAGCTGCTGCAGGCGTACCACCCACGGCAGCAGCTGCCCTGTGGTGCCCTCCCCGCTCACACTGCCTCTTTCTACACTCTCTGCGGCAAACAACAGTGGGTGCCGGCCTCAGACCAGCGCAGCGCTTCCGTCTGCTGCAGTGCCCACACCGACACCCCCGTCTGGTGAGTAGTAGTCGTAGTGGTAGTAGTAATAGGAAGAGGAGGCGGAGACGTGGAAGAAAAAGAGTTTAAGGCTATTATGAAGTTTACTAGCCTAGCATATGTTGCCAAAACGCCATATCGGCTTCTGTGTTCCTCTCATCTCAATCTGTACTCTGTTTCCTGTCTTCTTTATTCACCAAATTGCATGGCCTTGCACTTATTTAAATTAAAGTCCAGCAGTCTGTCTCATTCTCACCCGAAACACTCTATTCTCCTGTTTGTATTAGTGCCAATTATTTCGCTTCATCTCTATACGGAGACACTACAATTTGATGCCCTCTGGCAAGCCATTTACATAAGGAAAAGTAGTACTGATCTCTGCTGCCAGAGGCACAACAAGTGTTGGGTTAACCCACAGCGCAAGTCTTGTTCTTCATGCTTTTATAATCACTATATCTTCTTTTTATGGAGACTTGTCAAGTTGCAAGGATATCAAGTGAGATAGTTGGGGGATCCCACTTGTTATCCTTGTCCATCTTGACACTTCGTCCCATTCTATCAGTCTCTGTCATTTGGTCTTTCAGATCGTTCTCGATGCACCTGATGTCTTACCGTTTCACCCCTTTTCCCGGGCTCTAATGTTCCCCGGCATCATATCTTTCTAATCTCTAAATACATTTTGTCTCAGTATTCTGAATAGGTGTTTCCTCTTCAGTCGTAGTCTGTAGTCTGCCTTGAAAAGTCCTTCCTTCCTCAGTCATAGTACCTGGTCTTTCACATTCATTTTCTTTACGCTGTTATGCAACTTTTGGTTACGATTAGCGTTTTATACTTGCTCTCTAAATTGCCTCCGCAACAGCTCTCAGAACTTCTGTTTTTTTTATTTTGTTCTTTTGTTTTTATACATCCTCCAGGTTCTTCAGGTTCTATCGTCTCCTGTTGCCCTGGCTGAACCATGTACGTTCCTCTACGTCTTCTCATGCCTGCTAGAAATCCATAGCTCCTAGTATTTCCATCAGAAATACTAGGAGCTATACAGAGTTTGTACACCTTGTGAAACAACTTCGTTTAAACAATACTTGAACAATAAGAAGAGGAAGAAGAACGAAAAGGAAAACTTTATTAAGGGTTAATAACCACGGATAATCTAAGAAGCCAAGCAGTGTGGTATATTTCTGCTGGGGCTCATAGATCCTCATATAGCAGCCGACTAACTCCTAGGTATCTACTTTACCACTAGGTAAACAGGAACGGCAAGTGGTAAGAGATTTGCCCAAACATTCCTCCTGGTCGAGTACTGAACTCGCATCTTTCAATTGTGAGCCGAAAGCGCTACCATTGTGGCAATAATGCTTCAAAATGACCACCAACCGTGCAGGTCACCTAGAAATATACACTAATAGTGTCAACTAGAAATGTCTTCATTCAGCTGATAGCTGTACTACTAGTATCACCTAGAAATCCCAAGTCCGGCTTTCTCTGACCGTATTGCGGTAGCCGGCTAACCAAAATTCCTGACCAGTTTTCAGGGTCGACAACAGAAAACGAATTTATGGTCTCTGGGTAAACGCTAAGCCAGGGAAGATGGGAAATAATCTAAGGATATTTTGTTCTGGAACATGGTCTAAAATGGATAAGTAATATAGCCCACATAGGAGGAAGAAACTGGTGTGTGGCTAGTTAATGATCCAAGACGGACCGAAACGTTGTCACAAACTTGTCTCTCCTGTGTGCGGGTTATTTGTGTACTGTTCCAGTTACGATATTCTTTATTCTTTCTCGAAATAGGATGAGGAAAGGAAAGAAACGAGGAGGAGGAAATCTAATATAGGATTACCACCTCAGGACAGTTGCATTCAATTATATATTTAAGTATCATAATTATAACATGTTGCTATATGATTCTTACATATATTTTAATAATAATAACAATTACAAATTTTACGAATATTTTTCCGTTCATGGATTACTCAAGATATATTATTGGTGGAGTTTGTTATAATTTTAAAACTTTATATAGCCATTTTAGAAGCAAAACATCGACAAGAATGTATGATGACGGAGATTTTATTTACAGGTGTGAAAAAGAGGCGTCGGTTGCTACATCATCGTTGGGGTCGTCAGCGTCCGCGGCGACGTCAGGTCGGGCGTCGTCGGTGCAACAGACGGTAATACAGCGTAAGATAGACACTGTCACCGACCAGAGCTCCATTCATAACAACGAAATACAAGGAGCTGCCAAGCCTGCCTCTCAGGTGAGTGCATGTGTGTATGAGGGTAAATAAATCATCTAGCTAGGTATATTTCTGTACACCATAGGGAGGTTAGGGACACCACTGTGACTACAAATGCAGGTTTTTTACAAATGAATCCCACACGAGCGTGGCCGTGGCGTGCTCTAGCTCAGGTCCCCTCAAAGCCGCCATCATGACTCACGAAATCGTAATAACAGTATTGTAAACAAATCATGGAACGGGTGGGATTTGAACCCATGTCGGGTGAGTCCTACAACTCACGGGCCAGTGTGTGAGGGGTATCAGGAGTGTGTGTGTGAGTGTGTCATGGGTGTATGTAAACCCCAGGTGATATAATTAACCTGTATTATCTCTGTCTCAGGATGAAGGATCATGGCTGACAAACATCCTTCACTTCTTCGGCTACAAGAGCATCGGAGAGATGATTCAGAATATTGATATTTTTTCTTTGCCTGGTAAAGTGCAGGGCCTGGTGAAGGTTAGTGTGTGTGTGCTTTAGTTCGTTTGTAGTTTGAATTTCAGTTTGTTCAACACTGTCTTATGTAGTCAGACAGAGCTCAAAGTGCACTTTGAAAGATGGGTAATGTTTTGTTTTGTAGTAAAGTGTGTGCTGTAGGTGAGATACAGTACTCACTTCTTCAGAGGCACAGCCATCACATTTCACTTGTCAGTCATCTTTTCAGTGAATACTTGTATTCTGACAGCCCTATTACCAACCAGTATATAAAATAACTGCTGACCATTGCTATGACTATGTTTGTCTGCTAGTAACTATGCCAGTGTCTTTCTATCCGCTAGTCAGTGACATGGCCATGTCTCCACGTCCACTGGTCACTGCTATGCCCATATATCTCCGCCCAGTGGTAACTGCTCTGTCCATGTCTCCTACCCAGACGTACAACGACGAGATCTCCATGGGTCAGTGCTACATGGAGTTCACCACATACAGCCTCTTCAAACAAGACGGCGCCTTCTCATCTTTCTTAAGAACACGCAGGGAGCAGCCACTGCAGGAGGCGTGGCAGGGTGCTTGGAGCGCGGAGGGCACGGAGGACCTCCACAAGAGGTTTGCCAGCTTGCTAGAGGAGGCATGGCAGGATGCTTGGGACGTGGAGGACAAGAATTTAGAAGACAAAAAGAGCCTCCAGGAGAGGTTCGTCAACTTGTTAGAGGAGGCCAGAGCTGTTTCCTCTCACACCTCTGGACCGTCGACTATAGAGGTGAGGATTATAATATTATTACTAATAATAATTAATAAAAACAACAATAATAATTATAATAATTATTAAGTTAAAAGTAAAATAATAATAATAATTGTTATTAAGTTTTTATTCAGCGGTCGTCTACCTTCAGGGCAGATTTGACCCAGAGAAGAAAACACATTCACCAACATTCATTCGATCGCCGTCTTTCCCTCTGACTACAACATCCTCACCCTTCCTTCAGAGTGCAGGCGCTATACCTCTGACTACAACATCCCCACCCTTCCTTCAGAGTGCAGGCGCTGTACCTCTGACTACAACATCCCCACCCTTCCTTCCAGGTGCTGTACCTCTGACTACAACATCCTCACCCTTCCTTCAGAGTGCAGGTGCTGTACCTCTGACTACAACATCCTCACCCTTCCTTCAGAGTGCAGGCGCTATACCTCTGACTACAACATCCCCATCCTTCCTTCAGAGTGCAGGCGCTATACCTCTGACTACAACATCCCCACCCTTCCTTCAGAGTGCAGGCACTTTACTTACAACCTCCACGACTAAATAAAGTCCCGCTAACTGATTTCCCTGAATTTTTTTCATAAAAGTTACCCTGCTCTCACTCCAACAGCACGTCAAATAAAAACCGCTTGCTTCCATGAACTCGCATTGCTGGATGCTCAAGCACTTAAAACTCAAAGTCTCTTGTACCCCCTCCTTCAAACCGTTCCCGGGACTATCCCACCCCAGATTTACATGGTGAGGGCCCGGGTTCGATTCCCGGCGTAGGGGTGGAAACATTGGGCGTGTTTCCTTACACCGGTTGTCTGTGTTCACCCATCAGTAATAATGGATACCTGGGTGTTAGTCGACTGGTGTGGGTCGCATCTTGGGACAAAACTGACCTAATTTCCCCGAAATGCTCTGCATAACAAGCGGCTTTCTACATAGTAGTATGTCATTGATGTCAGCTAGGCCTGTATACCTTGCACATGTACTTGTAGAAATAAATATATTATTATTTATTATCATCATCCTCAACCAGTTTCTCTCCAGTCTCTCGCTGCATGCCCCAACCACCTCAGCAACCCTTCTTCATTATTATTTCATTCATGGGGGAGCGCTGAACCCGTAGGGATCATGCAACACCTGGGGGTGGAAGGCATTCAGGCTTAATTCAAAGAATTGGAGCACAGGTCCACTATCTTAGATTAAGAGCCCCTCACCCTTCTGAGTTATGCCCTCTGGAAGCACTGCCTGATACACATATTTTAATTATTACTATTTTTTAACAACTCGACGCTGGTGGAGGGCTCTAGATCCAAGGTCTTAGTTCCACTGAGTGTAGAAGTATTACCCGCCTCCACAGAGTGTGGTGAACGGTCTGGTAGGTCTGCTGGAGGGGTCTCCGACCACCAGACAATATGCTGACGTAATCAGACAGATCGTTCCCCTGGTGATGCAGATGTATGCTGCCCCTGACCCGTCCTCGGCCATCACTGCTTTCATCACCCAGGCCATGGGTCCCTACCTGGCGCAGGTGAGACTTTACACTAAACAAGTGAGTTATTATACTGCTCAGGAGTCTTCTTATATTGCTCAGGAGAATTCTTATATTGATCAGGAGAGTTCTTATATTGTTCAGGAGAGTTCTTATATTGTTCAGGAGTTCTTATATTGTTCAGGAGAGTTCTTATATTGCTTAGGAGATTTATATTGCTCAGGAGAATTCATGTATTGTTCAGGAGAGTTTTGCCTAATCTTGGTGAGTTTAACGTAGTTCAGGTGAGCCTTAACGTAAATCACTAGTGGACATCACATTACAAGCCATCAGACCCACCAGCACCACCAACCACACCCACCCACCAGACCCACCAGCACCACCAACCACACCCACCCGCCAGACCCACCAGCACCACCAACCACACCCACCCACCAGACCCACCAGCACCACCAACCACACCCACCCACCAGACCCACCAGCACCACCAACCACACCCACCCACCAGACCCACCAACACCAAACCCACTATCACCCACCAGACCCACCAACCACACCCACCCACCAGACCCACCAACACCACCAACCACCAGACCCACCAGCACCACCAACCACACCCACCCACCAGACCCACCAGCACCACCAACCACACCCATCCACCAGACCCACCAGCACCACCAACCACACCCAGCCACCAGACCCACCAACACCAAACCCACCATCACCCACCAGACCCACCAACACCACCAACCACACCCACCCACCAGACCCACCAACACCACCAACCACACCCACCCACCAGACCCACCAACACCAAACCCACTATCACCCACCAGACCCACCAACACCACCAACCACACCCACCCAACAGACCCACCAACACCACCAACCACCAGACCCACCAGCACCACCAACTACACCCACCCACCAGACCCACCAGCACCACCAACCACACCCACCCACCAGACCCACCAGCACCACCAACCACACCCACCCACCAGACCCACCACCACCACCAACCACACCCAGCCACCAGACCCACCAACACCAAATCCACTATCACCCACCAGACCCACCAACACCACCAACCACACCCACCCACCAGACCCACCAACACCACCAACCACACCCACCCACCAGACCCACCAGCACCACCAACCACACCCACCCACCAGACCCACCAACACCAAACCCACTATCACCCACCAGACCCACCAAAATCACTCACCAACATCATCCACCAGAACCACTCACATCATTCATATAAAAAAAACTATTGACTTCCTACATTCATTACTAGTGACATCACAATGTATAAAACTACCCACACCCATTACCAGCTGAGTAACATCACCGTTACCAGTTGAGTGACATCACTAATTCCTTTCTCAGGTACAGTCTCCGTCCCAGAGTGTAAACTCCATTAGCAGCAGCAGCAGTAAGCCTTCCTCCCACTGGTCTGAAGCGAGCTCGAAGCCTGCTCCTGTGCCCAAGACCACGCCCAGACCGTCCTCGTCTGCAGGGGCAGCAGCAGGTTCTGCTTCCTCCCCCATCACCACTATGATCCTCCAGTTCCTCAGATATTACATGGGCAACTACCTCTCTTCCTTACCCGGTTAGTCACGCATTTTACCTCTTCATCTTATTATTATTTTAATAATAGTAATAATATAATAACAATAACGATAATAATAATAATTATATAATTAAATACATGTAGCATCCAGCAGGCTCGTGTGACCGTATTTAATGTTGGTGAATGCGTTTTCTTCTTTGGGTCACTCTGCCTTGGTGGGAGAGAGCCGCTGTGTTAAAAACATATTTTTTTAATTACACTTAATTAGTAGTAACAGTAATAGTAGTAGTAATATAATTAAAACACTACAATTAGTCCTTGTTAGCAATTAGTCTTGAGGTAATTAGTTTTACTGAATATTTAGAATATAATCCATAGTAAATGTCATTATTATAATCCTAATTTAACTTATTTATAATTCATATTAAATGTAGTTATGTTTAATTTACATTATAGTGATGTTTAATCCAAATCAAACATCATTATAATAAAGGATAAAACTTTTAACGTAATCCCGACAAAACTACAACGTAAACGAAATAAAAGAACATTACAATCTGGAATAATGGTAAATTTCATTGTTTTAGGTAATGCACCAAGCAAACCACCACCACCACCTCAGCCTACCCAAGCCCCCGCCGTCAGCAGCACCCTGGCAACCCCTTCAGCGTCTTCTTCAAGCGTAGGCAGCATCCTTAACCTGCTATTTACTCCCTCTCGCCCGCAGAAAGTGTCACGCCCCAAGCCGCAGGCACTGAAGCGGCCACAGAAGCCACAGGTTCTGGAGAAA